ACTGGATAGCATCCATTGAATTTGGAGTAAAAGAGATGTAGAGCTGTGTGTCATCAGCGTACTGGTGACACAATGCCCCACACCCTCTGATGACCCCGCCCAGCGGCCTCATGAAGATGTTAAACAGCATTGGGGAGATGATTGACCCCTGTGGAACCCCACAATTGAGACTCCACAGGGCCGAGACGCTCTCCCCAAGCTGAACTCTCTGGGGACGGTCCCCCAAGAAGGATCCTTGAGCAAACTTCATAGAAGACCAAGCAGTCGTAAGATCGAATCCATGTGATGGAATGAGTGCCCGTTGCTTGTCCCAGCTTCCGCCAAGCTAGTGGTTCGAAAGCATACAAATGCAAGTAGATAAATAGGGACCACCTCAGTGGGAAGGTAACAGCGTTCCGTGTCTAAGTCGCACTGGCCATGTGACCACGGAAGATTGTCTTCGGACAAAACGCTGGCTCTATGGCTTGGAAACGGGGGTGAGCACCGCCCCCTAGAGTTGAACATGACTGGACAAAAATTGTCAAGGGGAACCTTTGCCTTTACCTTTACCTTTATGTCCTATATGGGACCACACAGAGATAGACCTTGAAGATGGCAGTTTATTATTCTTCTGTTTTGACCCTGGAACAAGTAGCAGAAAATTGCAAGGGTTGTACTGTGCTGTGTAGTGGTTGTGTAACATTTGCATGCTGTACCTTTTAATCTAACATACAACAGAGGGAATCCTGTTGTTTAGTGTTGTGATTTGCAACTAAGGTAAGGCCCATTGACTCAGCTGAATTTACAGAGGAGTTGACTCATCAAATCCCCACTGATTCAATGAGTCTACTCTAGTTGTGACTCACTATGCTAAGCAAGAGGATTTCAGCCTTGGACACTGTGTTCCTCACTCCCTTCATGATTTAGAATTCTTTAGCACTGAGCTTTCAATGGCTTGTTTTAAGGAAACCATCCTGTTTTGTTTACTGCCTTAGAGCTATCAACCAGCAGAATTCTTCAGATAATAATTCAAAGTTCATGATGTTTGTTTTGGGAGTAGCATCAGACAGCACTATCTGTAAATGCCAAAGTCTGATCTATAAGTCTCAAGTACGCAAGGCCTATTGACTCTGATGATCTTAGCTAATTTTTATTGGCTTCCGCTTGGCATACATGCAAACCTTTTGAGCACGTACCTACATAAGCAATCCATGGCAAGAAATATATGATCAAAGCATATTTCAGTTGCAGCTCCGTTTTCTACTTCACACATAGATTCCTTAGACAACCATTGGTCAGATATACGGTACTTTGATTTGGATTCCTGCACTGAGCAGGGGTTAGATTTGATGGCCTTATAGGCCTCTTCCAAAACTATTATTCTATGATTCTGTGAACACAGGGCTAAGGAATACGTGGCCATTCAGATGCTAGAGTGCAGAAATCTCATTGCCCTTCACCATAGACCAGCTAGGGTGGTAGTAATTGTAGCCTTAGCACACTTAGAGCACTCCCCAGTCCTCTAACAAAAACACTATAGTTATTTAGTCAAAGAGCCAGAGCTTACAAAAGTTGAAGTCCAAGGCAGTGATTTTTGCAAGCTTTGCTAATGTAGCTGATCTCAGTTGGATACGAGTTTCAAAGCAAGAGACTTTGCAAAGAGTAAGACTTGGGGACAGGCTGCAGCTACTGCCTTGGTTCCATATCATCCTCCAGAGTCTTGCTTAGCATTCATGCAAAGTGTGGATTCTGGAAAACATCAATGTCAACAAACTTTGCTAGTCACCAATCACACTGCGTCAGACTGTTGGCCTATCTAGCCAAGTATTTAGCTAATTTTTATTGGCTTCCGCTTGGCAGACATGCAAATCTTTTGAGCACGTACCTACATAAGCGATCCATGGCAAGAAATACATCAAAGCATATTTCAGTTGCAGCTCCATTTTCTGCTTCACACATAGATTCCTTAGACAGCCATCGGTCAGATATACAGTACTTGATTTGGATTCCTGCACTGAGCAGGGGTTAGATTTGATGGCCTTATAGGCCTCTTCCAAAACTATTATTCTATGATTCTGTGAACACAGGGCTAAGGAATACGTGGCCATTCAGATGCTAGAGTGCAGAAATCTCATTGCCCTTCACCATAGACCAGCTAGGGTGGTAGTAATTGTAGCCTTAGCACACTTAGAGCACTCCCCAGTCCTCTAACAAAAAACACGGTGTACCTTTTTACTGTGCTTTCCTGGCAGTTCTTAGAGCACTCCCCAGTCCTCTAACAAAAACACTATAGTTATTTAGTCAAAGAGCCAGAGCTTACAAAAGTTGAAGTCCAAGGCAGTGATTTTTGCAAGCTTTGCTAATGTAGCTGATCTCAGTTGGATACGAGTTTCAAAGCAAGAGACTTTGCAAAGAGTAAGACTTGGGGACAGGCTGCAGCTACTGCCTTGGTTCCATATCATCCTCCAGAGTCTTGCTTAGCATTCATGCAAAGTGTGGATTCTGGAAAACATCAATGTCAACAAACTTTGCTAGTCACCAATCACACTGCGTCAGACTGTTGGCCTATCTAGCCAAGTATTGTCTGCTCTGAAAAGACTAGCTCTCCACAACACCAAACAGATTTTACCACCTCCAATCATTTAACAGCAGGTGCCACAGTTCAGTGCTGATATGTTCTGTGCGCAAAAGAAGAGTTCTGTCAGTGAACTGTGCTCCCTCTCTGATAGCTGCATACAAGACTATTGGCACAGCATCACAATGTTTATGATGCTTTCCTTGCTCTTATCACCATCCCTTTGTACTGGGCTTGGGGGAGGTGTGCTCCTGATCCTGCTGGGAGCCATGGTCAGGAGGAGGTTGGCTGGGCCACTTTAGTACGAGAGGCAGCAAGTAAGTCCCAGTCTTCACCTTCACCTTTGCAGGCATGGAAGTACTTAAAATTGGCAAAATGTAAGTTGACATTCTATTCCCCATAATTTACTTTTTTACTGTGCTTTCCTGGCAGTTTAAAGGTTTTAGGGGTTGTAAAGAGATACATTTTCCCATTTATTTGCTGATGGAAAGCACCGAAGCTTTAAATACCAGCAGCAGCAGCCAGTAGGCAACTCCACAACAGCACACATGGGGGAGCCACACTCCAGACAAAATTTGCAGTTCCAATGCACACAGAGATGTCACCAGCATCCTTCCACACAGCTGAACACCAAGATCTCTGTCCTGACTTTCCTGATGAGGGTTTTGCAACCTCTACAAACATGTTATGCCAATGAAGCAGCTGTATAGGTTACAAACAATGTTGTCCCAGGTAATCCAGCTGCTGTGGGAGAATCCAGAGTCTCTGACTAATGTTGTGGCTATAAGGGAATTATAATTTTCTAGCATTCAGCGAGGTCCTGTTGTTGATTAAATGCAAATTCTCCTGCCTTGAGCTTCTGGGACAACTGTGTGTGTTACAAATAGAGGGGAATGGAGGAAGGAGAGTTGTGTGCCTGGAAATACGTACTAACCCCATTCCTAAGAGTCTTGCAAACATCTCATTTAATATTAGCAAAATTAAAGGAGGGAAAGGGGAGAAAATGAAGAAGATAAGGCAAAGCATTATGGCAATTTACAGACTAACACATTTCTTTCTGTTTTATTTTAGTGGGTTGTGTTCCATAAAACCTACATTGAAATAAACCAGTCTTTAAACTGGACAAACTTTCACAATATTTGCATAATATTTTTTCTCCCACCCCCTTTTAAAAATATATATTTGTTTTTTGTTTGTTTGCTTGTTTGTTTTACCCCTTAATTTTGTCCACATACCAAGGCAGTCTATGGCTACTTCTTTGGATCTTTGTTAACAGGAGGTAGAAATAGTTACATTTTCTCCAGCAACCCCACAACCTCCTTATGGGAAGCCCACTTCCTGCTTTCTAAATCATAGACCCAAAAGGACATAGTGCTGCATAAATCTTGTATAGATAAACAGTATGAGTTCCTATCATTGTACTAGAAATATAGTTTGTCTTGCCATAGCATTGAGGATTGTGACCAGGTAAACCACACACTTGCTCATTCTGCTGTCCAGATTCTGACTTCAAGGCCTCTGCCCTTCCTCTTTGTGTTCCTTTAAACTCGACAAAATTTCACACATAAAATGTCTTCAAGTAGAGGGATGTCTTCTGTGAAGTAGAAGATATGGCCACTTCAGGAACATCAGCTGTAGTGTTTCCTTAATATGCTGACAGCGGCATATTCAGAGTCAGAGGATTAGTTATATTTCCAAATACTGTATGCAAATTCTATGTAAATTATTTTGCAATTATTTTATTAAGAGGGAGAGCTCTGTTTTTGTGGTGTATCTGCCTGTTCAGCACCTGTGTACTATATCTGACTCTGAAAACAATATACTAACAGTTCTGCTTTCTTTTCTGAAGTGTGACTAGCTAAGGAACTCACAAATAAATTTAACATACATCAATGCTGTATGAAGACAAAGGCATGCCATAGAGAGCAGCAATGTCTCAGATGAGAATTAGGAAAGCCCAAATTCATATCTCCATTTGGCTGTGAGGCTGAGTGCCCAGTTAGGCCAGTCCTGATTTCTCAGCCTAACCTACCTTGCAAGTAGAGTTTGTGAGTAGAGGGAGAGAAACCAAGCACACTCTGTTCTTCGAGGGGAAAGGTAGCTATAAATGTAACAGGTAATACGGAGAAGTACCGTATCTTCTTCTTCTGCATATATTCCCAATGGCTGACTTCCTAGCAACTAACTAGATTTCAGTCCCTCATTGTTTTAATGAGGCAGGAACTTTTCTATTCCCAGCTTCTTGCTCAATGCCCAGGGAAGCCAGCTAGACTCAGGAAGGCCACTTGGGGAAAGACACCGACACCTGTGGACTGCTAAACAAGCTGTCACAAACAGGGCAGAAAGCAAGTGTCAGGCTTTTTCTCACTGGTGATTCCCTTCTAGAAGCTCCAGGGAAATTGGTAAGGTAGGGTGGGACATTTCAGATAAAACTGGACAGCGGCAGCATCTGCTTGGGACAATACAATAATCTGGAACTCCTTTAGCTGGAACAGGTAAGAGACAATGTGTTGCATCTGAAAGTTCTTTCTTTATGCCTTTTTTCCCTTTGCCTCCTTGAGACAAGTTGTAAATACTGGCAGCACCCATAAAACCCAAAGCACTGCAATTTTCACCTTGGATCCATTTGCAAAGAGTGCTCTCCTGCATTAGCATGGTCAGCAACCCATGCCTGCAGGTGACAAGATGAGATCTGCAGAAGTTTGAATCCTATCTGCTTTTTTTTCTGGGCAGCTGCATTTATCTCTTTGCATGTGAGGAAATGATTGCTCTTTTAGACGTAGCCACGCACGGTTGCCCCAAGTCTTTGCTCCTTATCGTTTTTTGCAGCATGCCGACACAGCTGGAAGGTGCAATGGATACCTTAATCAAGGTCTTTCACCATTACTCAGCAAAAGAAGGGGATAAATATAAACTCAATAAAGGAGAACTCAAACAGCTCCTCACCAGTGAACTTACTGACTTCCTTTCGGTAAGCCAGAGCCATTGTTAATTTATTTTTTTCCTCACTATCGAGAAGGAGAACTGGGGAGGGGGAAATGGCAGTCTTTGAAGAATCCTTCATGTGCTGTTTGTTCACCCAGACATTCTATATTCAGGGGAAATTCTGCTCTGGTGACCAACTAGGGCTCTTGATTATATCATTATTCAGAAGTGTAGCAGCCAGTCTGATTATAATAATAGGATTTTACAAGTGTTAACAAGCATCTTGGGTTCAGACCTCCCTTAGATTATGGGACATCGTGTCTAAATCACACTGGCCATGTGACCACGGAAAGATTGTCTTCGGACAAAGCGCTGGCTCTATGGCTTGAAGAGCGGGATGAGCGCCGCCCCCTAGAGTCGGACACGACTGGACAAAAAATTGTCAAGGGGAACCTTTACCTTTACATTTACTGAGGTAAAATGACATCTAGACATTACATTTCCCAAGTATCTGGTATAGAGGAGCTCTCAGCTTCCCATGGGAGTTCATCCAATGGCAATATCATTGCCATGGCTCAATGGTAAAGAAACTGAAAATATGATGGCCCTGGTTTTATAGGATTCAGCTAACAGGTAGGATGAATTGAAAATTCATAATGGAAATCTTTGTGGCGATGGATCATAACATTTAGACTAGTGCTGGCATGATTCCAGTTACATGTGGTGTTCTTTGTTGATGATGCCCATCTTTAAAATAATATTTCTCTGTTTAATTTACTGACTAATCTTCAGCAATGGGTGACAGATAGTAAAACCAGAAAACAGCAGTGAATATAATCCCAAACTACAGCAGGAAGTTAAAAGTTTGACATAAAAATGTGTAGTAACAAAAAACAAGGCCAAATGTCTTGTTGAATACAATGTCTCCACACCGTGCATAAAATAAAACAAAGTTGGCACTAAGAGATCGTTTTGAGAAGGGCTTTCTAATGGGAGAGGGCACAATGGAGAAGGCCTTGTTTTTGGTCCTGAACTGCTCAAGACAGTGCTTGAGTTTTATATTCATATTGATTTCATATTCTCTCTTTCACATTGAAGGGGAATCAATCCTATAGATAGACAGGAGCAGAAAACAAGTGGAGCTGATGCCGGACACATACTTTCCTCATCACCTGGGGCCACCTTGCTGCTTTCATCTTTTTGCTTCCCATTGCACCATTCCCAGTTCTCTTTTCTATTTGTGAATCTAAGGTCCACCCTTCCCTCTTTAAATTCCTCACAGGTTTCATTTATTTTTTCCCTTCCTCACAAAGCAAATTGTTCTGCTAATATACAGTACTGCCCCATAGCACTTAAAACTCTCTGGGCTGTTTATAATTTTTAAGTATGACTCTTCATTGCCTGCCTGCCCTCCCAGCGGTCTGGTGCTCTCGCCCCACCTCCCAGCAAGCTGAATTTAGTGCCCTCAGAAGGATGGAAAGTTGAGTCAACCTCAAGCCAGCTATCTGAACTCAGGACATGAGCAGAGGCTTCACTACAGTGTTGTAATTTAACTACTGTGCCATAAGGCTCCTTTGCTTCATTGAAAGAGGCAGCTCTTCATATGCTTACCAAAATGAATTGATAAAAACATAAAAGAACTAAATATTTGCAGAACATGAAATATGCTGTAACAGTCCTGTGGATTGCTTTGGCAGGGGCCAAATTGTAAGTCAGCTTGTCCTTGACACATTTGCTGGATCATCGTGTTGTCAGCTGAGATCTCCTGTAAATGAGTCCTTTTGGAATACTCAGTGCTGGGAAAGGTTACTTCCTTTGCATTATAGCTCCTAGAATCCCCAGGTAGCATGGATTCTAGGAATCACAGTCCAAAAAAGTAACTTTCCATCTCTGCCATGAACTGAACAAAGCACAAATATATCCAGATCTCTCATATTTACCATGTCAATCATGTCCTCTCTTTTCCTGCATTGTCCTTTTGAGTCATTTTCTGCATCTTTTCAGTCACATTATGGGCTGGGGAGATGGAGAGTACTTAAAAATAGTATTTATTGTTTCACCTTATATACTGTTCCATAGTGCTAGCGCACTCTCTGGGTGGCTTACAACATAATTATGCAAGGAACACTGTCCTCCACTGAGCTGGGTACCCATTTTACTGATCTTGGAAGGATGGAAGGTTGGATCAGCCTTGAGCTGGCTACTGGAGCCCATTGGGATCAAACTCTGGCTGTGAGCAGAGACTGCAGTACTGCAGTTCAACCACCATTCCACAGGCAATAATAAATAAAGTTAGGGTTGCTGGCAGTGCTAGCCTGTAGAGACTCATGGCTTGAGAGGACTCACCATTCCACAGGCCACATTCAGAAAAAAAAAGTTTGAGAGGACTCACCATTCCACAGGCCACACACAGAAAAACAAAAAGGCAGTCAACTCTAGCCAACATGTTTTTGAAACAGTGCAAAAATATGCAAGATCTGTCAACCAGCAAAACCTGTCTGCCAGTGACAAAAGGAAGATGCGTGCATACACCATTTGATTAGCATTTAAATCTAATATTTCTGATCGGAAGTGCATCATGTTTGAATTACACTGAACACACTGCTGGCACTAAATAAATATGAAATACGCACTGAAATCCTAGTGTCCAGCTCTGCCCATGCCATAGGAATGAAGTAAGCAGCAGGAGGAAATTACTTTTCCTTTGGTGACTTCAGAGTGGATGTCGCTTTCTTGCATTGTGTGTGAGTTGTGTCCACCATGAAATTGCCAAAGGAAGCCTTTAAGTTTTGGTTTGGTTTCTAACTCCCAGAATCTCCCACCCAGCACGGCTACAACAAAGAAGGCCTTGTCTTTAGTTATCATCTACCTGAATACAGCTGAACCTGTTAAAACTGGCTTGAGGATTGTTAGTAACGCCTATAAATTTTGGTTGATAAGTGTTGAATTTTAATTAATACATCAATGATGTCCAGCTGTTGGGAGCAAATAAGAGGGAATAAAGTTGATCTTTTCAACTTACATACTGCCTCATAGTGCTAGGGCACTCTCTGGGTGGCTCGTACAACATAATTATGCAAGGAACACTTTGCCCCCCCCCCAGTAAGCTGATACTCGTTTTACTGACCTCAGAAGGATGGAAGGCTGAGTCAACTTTGAGCTGGTTACCCAAATCCGTAAGCTGAGTTGAGTCAACCTTGAGCTGGTTACCCAAATCCGTAGGGCTTGCACTCAGGTTGTGAGCAGTCTTCACTGCAGTACTGCAGTTTTACCACTTCACCACAGGGCTCCACTTGGCTGAAGTGAGAATAGAAGACAGAGGGATTGTAGTTGCGATGTAGCCACAGGGCAGAATCCTGAAACTATTCAAGATCAGATAGAGTATTGCGAGTCAACCTTGAGCTGGTTACCCAAATCCGTAGGGCTTGCACTCAGGTTGTGAGCAGTCTTCACTGCAGTACTGCAGTTTTACCACTTCACCACAGGGCTCCACTTGGCTGAAGTGAGAATAGAAGACAGAGGGATTGTAGTTGCGATGTAGCCACAGGGCAGAATCCTGAAACTATTCAAGATCAGATAGAGTATTGCTGGGCACAATAATAGGTTGTATAGGGAGAGATGCCATAGAATGCTGGAGACTCGCCAGGGTGTTCCAAAGTCCATTACTGACTCTAGCAGAGGTGGCGATGGGGAGCAATTACTGTAATAGATGTTCACTTCAAAGAGAGAGTCTATTTCTGTAATGATGTAGATACAATCATTGCAAATCAGAAATTAATTGTATGATCAGTTAGCTCTAATAAAAATTAATGAGTCAGTATCTTGCTCCTGATTAATCTATTATGGGCCTATCCATCAATGACAGATTTGTGTCTACAATATGGGCAAGGCAAATGAAAGTGTCATATGTATACAAATACATATACTAGAAATCAATGTACTAAATGAGCTGTGGCTCAGTGCCAGTCTGGGTTTTCCTACCCATAGGCAGTATGTGGTCCAAGCAAGAAGAATACCCCATCCCAAAATGGGACGTGTGTGTGTGTGTGTGTGTGTGTGTGTGTGTGTGTGTGAGAGAGAGAGAGAGAGAGAGAGAGAGAGAGAGAGAGAGAGAGAGGTGCCCTCTTCTCAGACCAAAGACTACCTATGTTACTTCCTGGAATATCCAACGTGGTAGATGAACTAGCCGCCTAGAGTGGTCTTTTAGACCAGATGGGCAGGGTATAAACAAACAAACAAACAAACAAACAAACAAACAAACAAACAAACAAACAAACAAACAAACAAACAAACTAGGACTCAGGAGTCCTGGGTTTGAATCCCTGCTCAGCCACAGGAACTCACTGGGGGTGTGGAACTCCTTAAATATCTCACCTTGAAAACTGCATTAAGATTGCTACAAATTGGTTCTGACTTGAAAGCACATAATAACAATGTTCCTTCCCTGCTGAATTTTCTTCACTTTTTCTTGATTCCATACCCCTGTTCAGAATCTATGAGGGCTAAATTTCTGAACAGGATGAACATTAAACCCTGCCTTCCTTTATCCACAATACTGTTTCCCTCCATATATGGGTGAAAATGATTGAATGGGGCTCATATAATTCCTTTCCCCAGTTCCATGGGTTCAGCATAGTTGCAGTGTGCCACCCCCTACTTGGCCTCAACGGAATTTTATCTTGTGGCTCATCCATTTATTCTTCTCCCCTTTCTGCCAGTTCTTACCCCATGGGTCTTACTGTTGTTCCTGTCCACAATCCTAAAACTTGATCTCGTCTCTTCTCTTCTCTAAGTAAAAAATATTTTAAAGGAATGGATATATTACAGAAAGCTTGAAAAAAACATTGAAATAACATTTTATGTTATTATTTCTCAGTGTATTTGTGCTAACACTGAAAGCCACCAGTCCTTCTCAGCGAAGGCCCACTCCACTATTAATCTAATCTGGAATTCAATAACCTTTTGCATTAACTCTTCAGAAGACAGCAAGGAAACACTAGAAATTCTTGCAAAAGGAAGGAAGGAAGGAAGGAAGGAAGGAAGGAA